GTCTAGTCTGTAACTGGTTAAAATAAAAGTAATAATCAAAATTATAATTTCATCATCTTTATTTATTGTTATTATTATTATTAAGAGCCTAAGCTGACTCTGTGTTTACAACAGAAAACTGAAGTCACCTGTTGAATGTAACACTCACACAGTCTGATGCCAGGTGTGGAAAAACGGTGACGCATAAAAGTTGTGATGCTGCAGATGAGAGTCAGAAATCTTGAGGTTTTTTTTTTACTCCCAGCAGAGAAATGATGGTAAAAGTAGAACAGACACAAAAATAGCTGGTCACCAGTCATGTGGTCCACACTGACAGACAGATTAGGTGGGTCACAGCCTAGTGAGTGTCCTAGTGAGAAAAACCAGTGACCAGCAATGTAACAAATTCATTCAAACAAATCAGTCTACATGCCAGTGTGTCCTTGGACAAGATTTGTACGTTTCTGATAAAATGAAATAAAATTAGATAACTGGCCGCAGCAATGACTCGTGCACATGTATGCAGTTATTATTATTATTATCAATTCGTTGGCTTACTGGCTCTGAACACACATGCTAACAAACATCAGTCTTGAAATGGGGAAGTGTTAATCGGTTCTGACGTTGTCACGAATCTTAACCAATGAGGGCATTTGGGGCGGGGCTAAGTCTAAAGAAAGGTTCTGTACTCTTTCAGGGAGATTTTAATTTGAATTCTCTTCCAGAAGGTCACGTGAATCAAATGTAAGTTATTTGTAACCAGTGAGATGTTTCACAATGTCCTTATTATAGAACTCCCTCAAGTACTAAATTATTATTGGTCATAAATCAGTACTTTGGAAATAAAGTACTAATTTATCATAATTAATCACAGTCATTTAATCATAATTTTTAAAAATTGAACACATCTTAACAAAACAAGTGTATGCACAGAAACATGTGCGTATGTTTAAATTTAAAAAATAACATTCAGGATTAAGTGTATTGATTAGGATGAGTTGATTAAAGATTGTGGTAGCAAACATCGTTGCCCTCTCCACCCAGCCTCCACTGCTGGAGAAACTCCTTGGAGGTAAATTAAAGTGCTTGTCTTCAATCATCCTAAATCGGTGTAAATGGACTGGTTCACAACCTGAGAGAGCAAAGTATTGATCAGGACCTGTAGCTGCCAATTGTTTATTTTTATTTTTTATTTTTTTTGTCGAAGTCTGAATTCATTATTAGTTTGGTGAGAACTTCACCTGCTGGAATTGTACTGCTGTCATTTTCTTAATCTCTTCAAAAAGGTGAATGTTTTACATTTATATTTCTTCTTGACTTTTAATTCTAAATTCCCTTTCACTGTATGTAGCATATATTTCCTGCTCCTTCAAATCAGGGACCACAGGCAGCTGAGATGTAACCTTGGTGTGGCCCAGTCCGTGGTGTGTAATGGCTATCGATTATAAACTGTGGTGAGAAACTGAAGTAGTAAAAATGTCAATTTTTTCAATATTTAAAGTAGAACAAACCATAATTGCTACACTCACTGTACCCTAGTGACATGCTACCCACAACGCATCATTTATGTGTCTGGAAGCGTTAGCAGTTTACTTTCCAGTAACATGTATCTGTGAAAGCTGCAAAATAAAATAATAATTAACTGCTAACTTTACATTAAATGACAAGTAATTGGGTTTTTTTTTGCAACAAACACCAGGCTGCAGACCAGTGTGGTTGTTAGTAAGAATGATTTCACCCTCTTTGGGTGATTTATCCCAGAACTTAGAGTGGAGACCATGATGAGACTCAACAGTAACAAGTGGATGCTAAAAACATGAACAACGTGGGGGAAAAATGATCTGTTGAAAGACAAACTCTGCAAAAAATGAAATGATCTGTTGAAAGACAAACTCTGCTTCCTACAGATTATACACTTGAAATGAATGAGTTACTAATGGAGTACTTCTGTACTATGAGATGAGTAACTGCAGTATATATTTAAAAGGTGCTCTTTTATTATTCACTCTACTGCACTAACTCACTTATAGCACACCACAAAGACTGTATTTGTCTTGATTGTTGACATAACAATCAACAGACATTTGTATAAAACATAAACATATGTTTAAAAAGGAGTAAAAACTTTAGAAATTGCAAAACTGTACATTTAGAATGTGATTCTTTTATTGTTGACTAACTCCAGTGACCTAAATGCACGGACAATAATCTGAAATAAATGAAGAATAAATCCACAATTCATAAAGAGTGAGTACCAACAAGTTTGAACCTGTTGTCACGGTGAATGGGAGGAGACTGTCAGGACCTGTCAGAGCGATGCCTCTCTGTGACTTCATGGGGCTGTTAATTGGCCCTGGCATTTACAACCAAACCAGGCTGGCGTTCATGATGTAACAGGGTGGATAAAAATAAAGACGTGGCCGAGGCCTCTTTGTCTGCACAGGCTGCACATGACAAGTTGACTTCCTGCTGTCAGTCTGTCACAGTACAGGCTGTCATCACACTCAGTCCTGCTGTTTGTTCATCGCGTCTCCTCTGAGCCTCTCTGCCGTCTCTCCCTTCACTCGCTGTTGAAACTTTTTTTGATTGAACTTTTTCTTCTTGCATCTGATTTTCAATGAAGTGTTCTGTGATGGGTAACATAACTTTCTGAGTTTGGAACTTGTTTCTACTAGGGTCGTTACTGTCCTTTAGATCATCGGTTCTGGTCATTCAGTACTATACCATGAGAAAACTTGGGTTAGAGCCGTGGTTCTTGATTATTTTCTGTCATGCCCCACCCTTGGGGACAGAAATGTTTTCTCTGGCCATAAAGAAGGTTCTGTGTTTGATTCCTTGTGTGAATACACCTGCCTAAAACTTTTGCACAGAACCTACATAGTCCTAAATATCAGTAATCTCATTCAGCATGTATTTATTCCTTCATGTGTTCATCTCTTGTGCCTCACGGTCAGAGATGTTGTTGTTATCAGTTTATGCTGCAGTTTTTTAATTGCAGTATAAAAAATGCTGATGATATCTAAAGTCCCAGTGTTGTTGGCAAAATTGTAAACATGAAATCAACATCTGCACTTGCAGCAAACAGACACTAGTACTGTTTACGACTGCAAAACAAACAGTGCTGAGGAACAGGACATGATGCACCTGGACCCCGTGGACCCAGATATATTTGGTCCAAACACTCATGTGCATGTGCAAGGTGTGACTGTGTTTCACATCATGCTTTAATTAGAACTTGATTTGTGCTTGTTGTACTAATAATTTAGAATTAGGTCCTGGAGAGGCTTCGTGCAAAGGAACAAACGTCAGGAATTTTAAGACAGATAAAAAAAACTTGTAGTAAAACTGCAGTATTAAGACTGAAGTTAAAGCTGAAATGCCACAGACTGTGGAAGCTAACGTTCTAGTGTCTGTACTAGGACTGTTGTAGCTAATGCTAAATCCGGTGTACCTTGACAGTTAAAGCTAATTGTAGCTCTTGTGTCTATACCAGGACTATTGTAACTAACTTTAGCTCTGGTGTCTGTACCAGGACTGTTGAAGGTTATGAATTTTGGGAACCAAATATTATATGACGGAAATTTACAATTTAAAAAAAAAAAAAATCTATATATATATATATATATATATATAATGCTGTGGTATTTTTTAAAAACTTATTTTATATTTTATATTTATATACTTTATATTTGTGTTGAAGAATGAAATCTATTTTCTTGTGACGTTCCCTCTTCCCTGTTCCCTGCTGTTGATGTGTTCAGGTGCCTCTTGCAGTTCCTGCACCTCACAATGACAAACAGTGTTAAAACAGCCACCGCTACCCCTGCATCAGACTTAAACAAGCTGAACAACACCTTCCCTGCTGCTCAGTATGACAAACGAGCAACCTCAGCACACCCCCTCCCCTTCCTCCTCCTCCTCTTCCTCTTCATCCTCCCTATAGAATAGACCTCCTTTCCTGGCAGTCCATTTTTTACTTCTGACTTTTCTGGGTCGTCTCCTCAGCTCAGAAGCTCACAGGAGACCTTTTCTCCCCTCGTTCTCCTCTATAACTCATTTTCTTTGACACATACATCTTTCTGACTCATTTTCCACCGTATGCTTCCCTGCGATTGTATTCACAGTGTTCCAGGAGATGGAAATCTTTACACTGCTCCTCTTATTTAAATAAAAAAACTAAAACAGTTTTCTATAGTTAAAGTTTACTTGGAGGTCTATTTTCTGAACACCTTCCGTGACTGCGACGTGATTTGACAGAATGAAAACAATGGGACAAAGAGGAAAAAAAAGGTCTAGAAGAATGAAGGGAAAAATAATTGCTGAGGTCAATAAGAAGAAATTGTTAAAAAAAAAAAAATAGAAGACCAGAGTTGTATTATTACACAGTTATATTTCCATTACCTTTCTCATCTTTTTTGCCTTTATCTCTATTCTTCTCTACGTCTTACCTTCCATGTATGTGATCCTTGGCTGATGCTCCTCTCTCCTGTCTCTGTTTCTCCTCATTAACCTCTGTTTCTAGCTGCAGCCTACCTTCCTTTCTTCCTTCCTTCCCTTCACTTTCTCTCTCTGTTATCTAGTTCATGGAAGATGAATGTTCTGGTTCCTCCCACAATGAGTGACATCTCATTACCTTTTTTTTTTCTCAAAGTAATAGACATTCATACTTCACATGTTTCCCATCAGTCTCAGGTATAAACGCTGAAGCTATAAAACATCCTAATGTCCCCACACAGATGTTAGTGTTGTCTTCCGCTGAGAAGCCAAAGGCTGCAGGAGTTTGAAGTGACATGGAGAGCTTCAAGATTTATGGCTTCTCTTTTAGTGATTGCGAAAAAGGCAAATGATAGTTTTAGGCTTTAAAGTCTGTTTTAACTGATTGTTTCTGAAATCCTAAGTTTAACCGTATTAATTATGGTTTCTTTTAAGGCTACACAAATATTCAAATTTTAATCACAATCACGATTACATTAGGATGATCGTCGGTGATATTAACATTTAAAAATCTGGCTCTGCTGCAGCACTTTCTCAACCAATAGTCAGCCAAGCGGCTAGGGCGTGAGTGAAAGCTTCCTGATCAGGAGGTGAGCGCTCCCTGCAGCAGGCGGCACCGGGCAGCCTCAAATTGCTGTACAGTAGAGTTGTGTCTGCGTCACATGACAACACAACTAACGTATTCAACCACCTGAACACCACAAACTCAAATATGATGAATTCATAAAGCTAACGTTGGTCTACTAAACCCCCGTCTGTCTCCCGCCACAACACAGGCAACCATACTCTGCACCAGGGGGTGCTGTATCCATCCACCTGTTAAAGACACACTGAAATAACCAATAACCGCAATTTTTTGGGGGGCCAAAACGTGTCCAATCTGTTCTGTGAGCAACCAAACAAAATGAAACATACCTATACAGTTTCCTTAACAGGAATAGGTGTTTCCGTCCCTTCATGTTAATGATCAATGGCATATTTATTTTTTATTAGCATTTGTTTCGAGTCCATTTTATTTTATTGTTTATTATTTATTTTAAGTTTGATTTAAACTGACAGCTTTGTTCCCATACTTCTACTTCTACATACTACTAATCGTGATTAATGATTGTTATTTCAATACTGATAAAAAATTATTCTTGATTATCATTTTGGCCATAATCGCGCAGCCCTAGTTTCTTTTTGTCCTTTGTAAACCTTGCATTTAAATGTAATCTGAACAGCACTGTGTCCTCTCTGTTTTTATGATTGTTGTTGGAAAATCTATTACCTGTAGGACTTTCCTAAAAAAGCCCAAATTCAGCAAAGCACATTGACCTCACCTATCAGTTTACATGTGCTCCTTTAAAGCCTTTCATTTAGTAGTCAGCAGTTTACCGTCTTATTTCTTTTTATGCCTTAACCTTTATACAGAACTGTTTCATTGAACAGAAAAATACATGTATATATGTGTGTGTATGTACATGTATGTGTATATGTGTATATATATATATATACTGTATATATGTATATATATATATACATACTTTAAATTAATTCATAAATTAGCAGTAGGGAATAAAAATGAAAGACAAGTAGTTAAAGACACAAACCACATAATGAAAAGGTGGTTAAAAACCCAGTGTATATGACGACAGAGAGACAAGAGGACAGAAGTGGAGAGAGAGGGAAAATTAACCTGCAATTTGGTCTCCATTTAGCTGCAGTCAGCCACAATCAGCAGACATATTAGCATTTAATTAGAGTGAGAGCCGCAAACCACGGCCTGCTGCTCTGCTCTGATTACCTCACACACTGCTTTTCAGCAGGGGGGTTACAAATAGGTATAGAGTATCTGTGTAAACTGTGTGTCACTGAAGTGTCCTGCTCCCCACAGACAAACACAGTTGTAAAAGAAAAGTCTTAGCGGACAGAAAAACATTTTTGATGATTACACTTATTAAGAGTTCAAAGGTCTAACTGTAACTGCAGTTCATCAGACCATCCCTCCCTCCCTCCATCCCTCCCTCCATAAGTCATCAGATGCAGGTGACAACCTGTACACTTCTCCACTCAATCACACTACCAAAAAAAAGAGACAATCTGTGTGAATCATTTTGGACTGTTGAAGGGACCACTGTTTGAAGGCATGTATTTTTTCAGCAGATCTTGTTCTTCATTGCACAGAGTCACTGGTTGGTTTAATAACAAACGGAGGAAGAATAGGAAACGTTGTTGCTTTTGCACAAGACAAAACAGAAAAGCACAAACAAGAAGAGCGGGAATCAAACTAGCAGACAGCTGATGTTGTTCTTAGTTCAGGACAGTGTTTCTCAACTTTCTTTGAGCCACGGCACATATATATTATCAGGAAAAACCCCATGGCATAAAAAGTATATGTAATGAAATATAATAAAATTCTAGTTTAAATTTACTAAAAATATGCTCCTGTTTAGTTGAAGACGTCTCTGATATACTGGCAAGAATTGAAGAAAGACACACAAAGATCTTCTTCAACAGCTCTGATTATCTTTATTTTACTTTTAATAACCATCTGCTGCCACTTAGCGGAAGACGATTTAACTGCTCTGCCTGTCATGCACTGACGAACAAAGACAAAATATTTGCAATGAATGAATAAATAATAGTTTTGGGACCAATTAAATGACATTGGATATGTTTCCGTGGCACACTCACAGTGGTTGAGAATCACTGGTTTAGGACACTGACCTTTTTTATCGTGTTGCCTTATGGATGTGTTTGATGTCCATGAAAATATAAAGATATATTTTCAATCACAGCAGGGTACTGATTGGACACATTTAGTTGCCACTGTGAAAGTGTTTTGTTATACAGGAAGTACTGTGTCAGACTGTATCTACAGACTTGGAAGTGGTTTGTTCTTTCACAGAGGAAGGTTTACAGACTCGTAGGTCTGTTTGGGTGGAGGGGAGTTCTACCACTGTTCTTTGTGCCTCAGGTCTAAAGGTAGAGAGGAAAAGAGAATCAATGATGACTGAGACACAGCTCTGAGATCCAGAACCTTGTTTTTATCCTTGGCTGTGTAACTTCACCTCTGATATGCAGAGTTTAACAAAGAACACATTTGTGTCCAACTGATGGTTCTTGAAAATCAGACCTGCTCTAAGTTTGGAGACTTGTTACTAGGGGTGAACATTGGCAAGAATCTGGTGATACAATACGTATCACGATACACGGGCAACGGTACAATATATTATCTATCTAATGTTGTGATAAGTTGTAAATTGTATCAAGTCACCTACACAGCATCACCAATTACAACAGTTGCTTGTTGTGCGCTGAGGGTATGGGGAGGGTCAGCAGAAATGTATTCCCTTGATCGTGCTTGAACAACAAAACTAACAAGAGAGTCACAGCACAATATAGCAGTAAATACCTGCACTTTCTGACTCCTCCACATCTGTCCTACAGAGATCTTTTACCTCAGCCATCTCTGTTGGCACTGTTGGTATTGTTTGGATTTTTTTTTTTTTTTACTCCTAATGCACCACTTCCTCTAATTGGTTCAACTTCTCTCTTTGATTCCATAAATATTCAGTTTGCTTGGAAACAAATCAAGAGCCATCTTTTCAGCCAGAGCTGAGTTTGCTGGTTTGGTCCAATCCAAGGAAACAAACTATGGACCATCTAAGGTGGACCAAACAGCTCTGGTGTGAAAGAGCCTGAGTTCCAAGCCTTTCTAGTCCAGGTGCTTCAAACTTGAACGTTTGCCATCTTTTTACTGCTTGTGACAGAAGGTGCCATGAAGGAGAGTCTAGAGCGTCTGGAATCTGAACTACAAAAGTCAGATGGAATGTCAAAAAACAGCCACAAGTGTTTGTTGGAATGTCATTAAGCAGAATGAAAGCAGAAAAACCCTCACATTCTTACCAACCACTGACTGTATTTGACATTTTAATGTAATGACTTCCATCCACTTTCAAAATTGCTGACATTATTTTTCTCTGCGAGTTGATTCATCTATTAATTAGTTAATGTTTCAGCACTAAATCATGTTGGCAAGGTTCAGGGCAGCACACTCATTATCATATTGGACAACATTTAACCAAAGTTCTAGGTTTGCTTTATATTCAGATGACAGTGTGAGATGAGACTTATTTATATAATGGTCTGCTTTTCATGGGCTGGGTGATGAATGACTCGTCTTACGTCCAATGTTTTGGGTATGACAAGTTTGGCTCACGTGTTTCCACTTACCACCATCGTCCTCATCAAAGGAGTTCATGCAGGGGAAGTAAATAGCCAGGGCCTCAAACGACGCTGATAGACTGATGCGACTCTGCGATCGCTCCATATACAAGCCCGGTGTCGGGGCCGGGTCGGCCGGCTTGGCCAAGCGTGTCTGGGCATTCTTCACGCGGAGTACGGCTCGCGGCGTCTTGGACGGCTGTCAGCTGCCCCTCACGGCAGATCCACTTTACCCCGGAAAGACAAAACCTGTAAGATCCCCAAGAATGTTGCCCCGGCAGGAATAGGTGCCGAGGTCAGCAGCAGAGTTGATACTGAAGAGAGACGTGGATCAGCTGTGTATATAGTTTGTCTTTGATCACTTAGTCCTCTTGTTGTCTTTGTTGTTTTCTAACATTTCATCTTTCTGCACCTAAATGTCTTCTTTTCAATCTGTTCACATTCTTGTTTGGCCTCTATGCTCAGACAGACGGCCTTGGATATCCCCCTGTTTGTGTCGCTCTTGTCCTCAGAAGTCCAGGAGATTTGTCTTGGTGAACTCTCCTCTGTCTGCTGCTGAATCTCACCTGCGTCTCTACACCAATAAAACCTTATTGTCTCCCACTGGTTTCATGTCAACGCTGCAGGTAACGCTCTAAGGTTCTCCATCTTTTATGCATTCATCCCTAAAATGCTTTGTTTTCTTCAGATCCCAGTGAAGGAGAGAAGATGGGAGGAGACACTGGTGCCAGAGGTGATGCTGTGCAAGTCTCGTTTCCAGACTAAGTCAACGCTTCTCATTTCTGTTGCCTGCCGTTGTCATTTCCTCGTGCTGTGACACAGCAGTAGCGGAGAACCTGACTTTCAAAGCCCAGGGGATGTCAGCTGCTGGAGCTGTTGCAAAATCTGTTTCCTTTCCAGGCTCTGATCAGCCACAGCGACAGCTGCAGCTGAGGGCAATCTGTTGCTCCAGCTTTGCCTCTAACTCTGTCATAGACGATGCACTGATTCTGCTGCTGAATACCTGCTCAATGCAATGATGATGTCAGCGGCTCAGCGCAGTGTCTTCTCTCCTTGGTCGGCTGTTGCTGCGCCGGCGCTCGACTGACTGTCTGCTCCTGAGACGGGAAAGGACAGAGGGAGCGAGAGATGATGAGAGCCTGTGAGGGAGGGAGAGAGAAGGGGAGCGACAGGGAGAGGCTGTTACTGTTTATTGCTTCTGTCTGGACTCATTCACTGAGAGTGGAGAGGGAGAGAGGTAGGAGGGAGAGTCTGACCAATCATAGTGTGTATGAGTGAATATGGGCGTGGCTTGGAGAAGGCAAACGTTGGAGACAAGTTTGCAATCTCTCTCAATATATTTCGCTCTCTTTCGCTCTCTCTCATCACCGCACAATCAGACAAACACTAAATCAAACGATGCAAAAGTTGTGACTTAGACCCAGTGACGTCTTCCGGGAACCAAAACTTTTGCCACAGGCTGAAAATACGTAGTTTCCACTAGTAAAAAAACAAAACAGTTTATATCTGGAAACTATGAATGATTAGTATAATTTTACTGGCTCCTAATGTTCTGCTCAGACGCAGGTAAACCACATTTGAACCACGTGTAAAAACGTGTGAAATGGTCATTAAAATATGTGTGTAGATGCAGATAACATCATCATGTAAACTGTGGTCAAATGACAGGAATGAAATCTCTTATCAGAGAGGGTCAGTCATCTATGAAGAAAATAAACAACACAATGTAAACATTATTTAAAGTTTTAGTGTTTAGAAAAACCTTATCTCAAGGGCTAAGAAACTGCATCAGTGGAAATGTACTGTACTCTGCTGCATCCATGCATTTTAATGAGAAACGTACGCAAAACTAAAAGAAAACCAGTAGTTATGTTCTGACCTGGATACACTGAAACATTCAAAGTTCTTCAACACTGACCCAGTTTGAAGTGCTGAGTTCTCGACTAGGTGTTGTGCTGTGGAAAATGTCCCACTCTGTACAAAGGTGTCTCAGGTCTTTGACTCATCTGGACCAGCCTTTGATGATCCATTCATCTTTCACACAACTTTACCCTTTGAAGGATTGCATTAGAGCCCGAGCTGGTCTGCTGCATTCCAGTCATTATATGTTGTAACGCTGTCTCCGTCCTTGTGTGGGCGCTGCTGAGTGGTCTGTGGCCAGTGAAGTGCACTGCTCTCATGTTGACAAGTACCTACTGTGAGCATGCTGTCCAAGTCCGTACCACAGGAGCACTGACCTTTTCTCCATGTGTCGTTTCCTCTCTGCCTCCATCTGCTCGTCTTTCTTCTTCATCCTCACTCCCATCTTATTCTTACCGCTATAGGACTGAGACATTGACTTGATAGTTTTGGTTAAGTATTTGGAGGGCAAATGGAGAAGAAGAATCACATTTTGCTTGTCTCATCATCGTGGGCTCCACGGTAGTAGTCCACATAATGATTTGGTCCACCCTGCCATAACCCAACCTGTGCTGGGGCACTGGGTGGAGTCAAAACCAGGAGCCTTCTGGTGGCAGACGTGCCACCGCAACACTTTAGCTCCCTGATAAATAGACACTGAATAACACATAAGTCACACCTTTCCCAGTTCCCTAATTTCTGGAACACTTGTTACACTGATGCACACTCCCCAGGCCTGTAGATGGCAGCAGTGTCAGTCAGAAAAAGATGAGCAGAATGCAGTGAATGAAGTCGGTTTTTGAATAAATCATTTTCCAGTCACTGAAGCTTTAATTTGAGCTTCAATTCTCTTCTCTGTTCAGCAACTGTTGTCTGTGCTGAACAAAACCTGCTGCAGGTTTGGAGCTAAAAATGACAACATGAGGTGTGAAAAAAAAAAAACAGACGAAGAATACGTTTCTGCTGTTGCTGTTTAAAGACAGAGGAAACTAAGAATGTAGGTGTGAGCTCTCTTGTTATTTAAAAATGGAATTAACAGTGATTATATACATAATTACATGTACTTTAAAAACTCTGTTTTTGACCGAGAACATTGTTGCCTTTCTTTTAGCATGCATACTACACACACACACACACACACACACACACAGTGGAGGCTGAGTGCAGATCTTTACCTCTGGCTGTTCAGCCTTCTGTCTCTGCTGGATGAACCCCAGAGACACAGCAAGACTGATGGACTGACGTCAGTATCTTCGTGTCTGTGTGTGTGTGTGTGTGTGTATGTGTATGTGTTAGTGTTTGTTTTCATGACCTTTGGTTTGATAAAGTCTATTCAGGACCAGATGTCATTAGACTAATTAGAGTGTATTCCTGGTGATGTAGAATCTCATAGGATCACAGCATCAGCAGGTTGTATTTTCATATTAAACAGTTTGTGTTAAGGCTTCGTCCAAATGAGTAGAAGTAAGCATTAAAATAAACTTGTCAAAATGTCAGTTTTAACAGTGAGATTTTAAACGTAATGAAGCGAAAGCCCAATTTGCGAGGCAGTGAAAAAATGAAGGTTGAAACAGTGTTGAGGTGAGACAATCAGTGTGTTCATGTCAGGAGATTCATCTGTGTTCACATGACTGGAGGACAGCACAGTGTCCTGGACGGACAAGGTGTTCTGCTCTGCCTGTTTATCCCTAGTATGACTACACTTGTGGGGACTGAGTGAGGGTCCAGAGTTACCAGACTATCTTAGCATGAACTTCAAAACCAGCACAGTTAACCAAAGATCAGTATAATGTTTTTAAAATATATATAAATGACGCAAGGCTAGGATGGAGATCAGCCATATCTTTTAATAATTATGGTTGGAACATATCTTAGCAGTGATCTCATCTAGATTGTTGGTGAGATGAGAGGTTTTAACATTCCCTGAAATTTTTCTTTAATTTGAACAAATATGGAAAATCTCAAACTTCTCTATGTGTCGCTAAAGACGGACAATGAATAATTTGTATAGTAATGAAGAGGAAACAAATGACAAGGGGAGAATGCAGTAGCTAGGAAGCCACATGGGTAGTAGTATCTCATCCTGAAAGACAAATCAATGTCACCTCTGTGTGAACACACCCACCAGGACAAACAGCTGTGAGGATCACGTGCTACTGTGAAGCTGCTCTCTCTGTCTCACACACACAAACACACACACACACACACACGTTCCGGTATACACACTACTTCAAAGATTTTCAGCAGCAGGACTGGGACTGGTAAATAACGTGGTAGAAATGATAATAATTATAATTTATTTCACCTTTCTCAGTGTCCTGATTTTGACAGCCTCTAGGTGGTGGTAATGCTCCTAAAGTTTATTTGCCAGTCACAATATGATGATCATGATGCATTAAGTGACATCAGTGCACAGGTAAACAGACATGGAAGACAGAGCTAATGTTCCAGTAGCTACAACAGTTCTGGTACAGAAGCAGGAGCTAAGATTAGCTAAGATGGCCCCAGTTAAAACATCAATTACACTGTATTATAACTGCAATTGTACTGTGAGTTTGTAGTATTCTGTCAGTGAAGAAAAATGTACAGTAAATATAGAGTTCTTCACTAAATGAAATTGGAATTCCCTTTAGTTTGCGACCATTTTGTGATAATACTTCATGGTCTTGTTCCACTTTTACAAAGTCTTTGGTCCACATTATGTGCTGTTAAGTCTACATTATATAGAGATGAAATCATCCTGAAATGTCCCAGTTGGACTCACATACAGAGTTTAATGACATTGTCTGTCAGCACCTCCACATTTCTCCCTTTCATCTGTTTCTCTCTGTCTGACACCAGCCTACAGTTTGTAGTGCAGACGATAACTGTTACAGCTGTAGTTGTTACAGTAGGTGAAGACTTTCCAAATGCAATCAGTCTCTGAAGTATTTGTTGTCCTCACCACACACAAACACACACACACACACACACTCAGATATTGGGAGAATCCCAGGGGACTTTAAGTCCAATACTTCATTCTGTACACATGTAGTGCACATGTGTGCTACTAATGATTTGTGGGTATGTGACTGTGTACCAAGGTGTAGTAAAGGAGTGCGGCTGAGACATGGAAGGAAAATGAAACAAAGTGAAACGTTAAAGTAAAAGCCACCCTGAGCTCTGTTCGTTTTAAATTCTTGGCACAGAACTCTTATCATCTGCTCACTTCTCTAACAAACGAGGCAGCACAGGAAATGATTGGCTTCTGTTATATTTACCAAACACAGGAGTGTGTGTGGATACAACAGGATGTGTTTAATAACTATAAACAAAACAGTTTCATTTGTTATTTTGCCTCCTCCCCCCCCCCACAAACTGGACCACAAACTGGACCACATTTAAAACTGACTGTGTCACTCTGAAACAGTAATGAGGTTAGCTTAGGTTAGCTCTGGTTAGATAATAACGTTATTGCAAGTTTCTGATTAGACAGTGTACAGTATACAGTACAGAGTGTATAGTAGGTGATATTTTATATTTCTATATTTTTAACGATATGTCCTAAATTATATTTATATATGCTGTGTTTGTTATGAACCTGTGACCTTGGTGTGACCTCGAGCTACTGTGTTAATTTAGGTTGATGCTGACAATGTGATGGATTGCTGTGTGTTCATTTGTGCATCAGTGCAGAGCAGTGGGAATGGTGGAGGAGGCGGGGGGTTAAGGAGAATGACTCTAACTACTGCAAGGAAAAACATCATTATAAGGATTATGTCAAGTACAAGTACAGTAACAATGAGTGTTTTCATAGAACACGAAAACAAAAATTTTGCTTTTGTTCACAATACACATTTTTACTTATGGACTTGAATGTTTTCACTTGTAAATAAAACAAGAACAAGTCAAAACAATCCATCTAATGGGAAAAAAT